ACCTGAGAGTTTTGAAAACTTGGCTCTCAATACTGCACACCAATCATCTCCTAGTGGACTGTTTGGACTAAAGAAGTTTAGCTCATAGAAGTCTATAGAGCCAACTACATTAATCCAATATACTGCTGTATCTAAAAAAATGTGTCAGCTGGGAGAGAAGAAAGTTGCCATTCCTGTGTCCTAAATGTGTGTATGCAGGGGCAGGCTTTTATTTTTGTTATTATATATATATATTTTAATGCATTTTATTACTTCCCCGATCTGCTGCTGACCTGTCCACATTGAACAGTTCTAAAACCAGAAATGCTCAGATCTCACGCTTCAGGGTTCATCCAGCCTAAAGGAGATTGGTGAGAATGGATTCCCCTACTGTGGTCTCAGGCTCGCATAGGAAGAGAGGAGAGGGGGACCCTTACTACCGTGTTTACCCAAAAATAAGACACTGTCTTATATTTTTTTGGGCTCAAAAAAACACACTAGGTCTTATTTTCGAGGTAGGTCTTATTTTTTTTTTTCCGGTACAACAATCCAAAGTTAATGCAAGTCCAAACTAAATAATTCAAAATGACAAAGTTAAGAATAGGGTGATCAGGGCAATCAGGGGTGCCGCACCTTTCCAAGAGCAATTTGGTAACCAGAATGAGCGTAGCGCGCTTTCCATATCGATTCATCACAGGCGGAGTACATTTGCTATCACTCCGCCTGTGACAAGAGGCGGCACTGTAGAGGAAGCATCGGCTTATGCGGCTCTGCTCCCACTGGTGCCGCCTCGCTTCCTCTAGCGCTGGCACCGCTGATTCTCTCCCACCTCTCCGGCGGCTCTTCAAGTTCCCCCTATGACACCACCGGCCCTGGCAATAGTCACAACTAGGTCTTATATTTTAGCAATTCCCAAAAATAGTACTAGGTCTTTTTTTTGGGGTAGGTCTTATTTTCGGGGAAAAAGGGTAGTATGGTGCCAACACTAGAATAGGCTATACATAATGCTGTAGGGTTTGGGCACACAGGCGTGCATGTGGGAAACTGGAGAGGTTAGGATATTGACTGAGAATTTCTGCCTGCATATGTTTAACTATAAGTTACTCATGACTGCAATTCCCCTTTAACAGCTTCTTGTTATAAACAAAATACCGCAATCAGGTCAGTTAGTGTTGTTCTGTTTCAAATGCCATTTTATTCAATGACATACCACCTTAGATTCCATTCTGTATGGACACTTGCTGATTCAGCAGAATCCACAGGCAGCTTAAAAAAAGAGTAAAGCCAATCCTTTTTTTTAGCTACACTTCTCTTTAGGGTCATAGGAGGGTCATGTACATTTACAAAGTCAGCTGGCTACTGCCCTCCGTTAGGAGCAGAGACGGAGAGCTGACTGATTAGTGATAACAGATAAGCTCTCGGTCTTGGAGCCGGTGTACATACTCACCCTGAACATCTCCTTTGACTCTTCCATAAGACAGACAATACATCCAACTTAGTTTTACTTCATAAAAGTGCAATACAAACCATGTTTTCAGTTGAAGTGTAAGAAGACAATGTCTTTCCTAAGCTCTGTGATGAAAGTGAAACTATACTGGGTAAGAATAAGGGAGCATGGCGTGGGAGGTGGGAGAGGTGAGGATTCACCATTAGGTGAGGTGAGGATCTTTGCACATTTTTCAGCACGTTGCTTTAAACCAAAAGTATTTGTTTGATTATACGTTTTGTAAAGTGAATTGGTGACAACTGTAAATATCCTAAACGTACAAGTGTAAAAAGCAAAAAGAATAATTTGTCCTCACTTAATATAACGGGCGGGATGTGATAGCATGGCCTTGCCCGGAGTGGTTCCGAAGCATCTATGCAAGTAGATACTTTCTTATCACTATTTCCATAAGCATGCCCCTCACATGCCAATACACGGGCTGAGTCACCAGGCATAACGCAAGTGGGTTTAGGGCATGTCCATCCTCGACAACCATGAAAAGGAGATGTGGCTCTGTGATGTCAGATCAGGTAAGCGAATATATGTTCTCCCTATTGCCACAGCTTAGCTTTAAAGTTAAACTTTAGTGGTAAGAAGGCAATTTAATGTTCAAGTCTGTTATTTTACAAGCATGTTTTATATCAATTCTTTTATTGTAGGTTTATCATTTTCTCTACAAATGAAAGGATTCCCTGAGCGCTATGGGTTAGCTTAAGAGATAGCAGAGCCATAGCTACCCGCCTTCAGGTTAGTTTTGTCTGATTCCAATGTGGGATGAGTCACCCCTCTGACGTATTCATTTGTCTGTAAATTTCAGCTTAAGCTATTGATCTCTCTGGTACTGATCAAAATATATAAAAGTTAATATATTTAAAAAACTGTACATTCCCCTTAAATTAATTTCCATTCTATGTGATACTACTTTATTAAAAGAGACTGCTATGTGAGATTTCATTTTCCAGAAACTGTCATAATACAACAGACAGTCATGTGAGCCTGCACTGTTAACACAGTCATGCTGTACTACCAGAAGGTTGCTCTCTCCTTGTGCAGGGTGACTGGTCTTGTCTCCAACCCCTCTGCAGTGGGTGGGGTCTGTTGGGCCCCTCCCACAGCTTTGCTCTCTGCACAGGCAATGTACAGCACAGTGATTATGTAATTGCTATTTTAGCAAAGTAAAATCTGGGTTTGCAAAGGTATGTGCTGCACACAAAGTGGATTTATGTCCTCTGTGGCTGTAAAGGAACATATTTAAATTACAGCTTTTGTGTCCGGAGTTGAACTTTAAAATGTTGGAGTGCTGGAATCTGGTGCTTGGCAGAAGTTCTGAATGTATGAAATGATTGCTGATGATCCCTATAGCCCGGTGGGGCCCCAACATGGTACCTGGGAAATTCGCCTTGAATGGAGTGAAATGATGAGACATCCAAGCCGTAGGGATCGGTCCAGATATAAGGTTTTGACACGTTTCTCTCCATTCAAGCTCATTGCTATCTGCGGCCATCTTGGGGAAACTTCTCCCCACTTCCCTACAGGGCAACTGATGGGAAATCTCACCAAAACTGACAGCAAAATACAATTTTAGTTGGGTCGGGAAGGGTTAGAACTTTCTTATTGTTGTTCATGCCTTCCCATCCTGGAGACAACCACTTCTCCTACTTCTTGTGTGGGTGTCACAGGAACAGGAAATGAAGGCAAACTTGCTCGATGGGAACACGGAAATAATACTTGACAGGAATGTTCACTCTTTCCCACTACAAAATTTTACACAATTAGGATTTAATACATTGTAAGTAAAAATAATACCTGTGTAAGTTTGGACATGGATTAATATCATGGGTGAGATTTTAAATCAGGCCTAGTAGTATCTTCGGCCTGCGCAGCCCCATGAGAGGCCTCATAGCACAGCCAGGAGAGATAACTAATGCTAAACATGAAAACACTGAACCCGCAAAACAGGTCACCTAATCCTTTCATAGGCTTCTTCTTCTCAAATATTTAGTCACATAAACCCAGCCATGACTGGTTCTCTTTAACCACAGAGACATTCCAAGTGTCCCCCATTCACCTGACTAGAGTCTGCGTCACTGTCCAGGGTGAGAAGAGCTGAGTACAGGGATCATCGAGTTCAGACCTCCAGCGCGCATAGAATGGTTCTTGACTATTGAGAGGGACCATCGAGTTCACACCTCCAGCGCGCACAGAATGGCTATTGGCTATTGTGAGGGATCAGCAAGTTCAGACCTCCAAAGAGCATAGGCCGGCGTTTCAAGCCGTGGGCGCCCTGGTATGTTTTCCCGCTGCACTCTATGGTGCGTTTCCGGCGTGGAGCGTCAGGCAGGTGACGTTTCCTTAGCCGGGTATCGTGTGGTCGCTGTTGGGATCGTCCGCTGGAAGGCGGATTGTAGCACTGCCTGACTCCACAGCGGGAGACGCGTCTTGTCATCGCCGGAGAGCCCGCCGGAGGTCCCAGAATCATCTGCGGCTCTCACAGCCGGCTCAGCGCTTACAGACCTCTCTGCGACCGAGGACCTCTTGCCTGACACAGCTCTCCCGGAATCCTCTGTGGTTGGACCCGCTACTTGTAGTGAGCTCTCCCAGAATCCTCTGCGGCCTCTCCTGCACCCAGTATTTGCCTCTCCCAGAATCCTCTGCGGCCTGTCCTGCTCCCTGTACTCAGAATCTTTCAGAATCCTCTGTGGTCAACCCTGTACTCTGTCAGCTCTCCCAGAATCCTCTGCGGCCAGGGGCCCGCCACAGCTCTCCCAGAATCCTCTGCGGCCAGGGGCCCGCCACAGCTCTCCCAGAATCCTCTGCGGCCAGGGGCCCGCCACAGCTCTCCCAGAATCCTTTGCGGCCGGAGACCGACCTCCTGCCACAGCTCTACCAGAATCCTCCTGCTCCTTGACGGGCGATCCTTGTCCTGGTGCTCAGCTCTCCCCGAATTCTTTAGGACCAAAGTGTTGTTACAAATACTTGTATCCGGCCTACCTGTGCAGAAGCCTTACCACTTCTCTTCCCCCAACATTCACTACACCTGCCCACAGCTAGCTTTCTAGGCCGTCTCCATCCTGCCCCCCACTTTGTCCCCCTCCTCACTTAAACTTCATTTAATCTCTATATACAATCCTCACATTTCATAGTCTTGTGCTCTACAGCCCACAGCATCACCTCTCGAGGTTTTTCGGGGTGCCATTATATCTCATCAGGGTCTCTCTTCTGAGACTGTTACCTTTCTCACTTTTCACCATTCTTCTTCACCTAAGTCGTCAATAGCTTCCCCGGAATTAATTTATTCTTGACAACCAGTGTTGGTAAATAATTTTTCTATTCACTAGATTCCTTGAATCCCTCCCATTCTTATTTCGTGACCCTAATTTCATATCGCTGTGTACACATATCATTAGCACACCCTTCCTAATTTCCAGTGTCCTTCCTGCCTGGTGTTTACATTTCACTTTCCCACTATCTCCCAACCACTGACTGTATTCAGGTTCTGCTGACATTTCGCTGCTCTCACTTCTTACATACTCCATATTAAGACCTAGTGTCAGTATTTCCTTCATTGTGACTAGTAGCACGGTATTTGTACCTCTTGGCACAGTCATGGCATCAAAGTCGGGGAGCACCTTGGATCCGGAGAGGAGTTGTGTGTTGTGCTGCCAGGATCTGGATATATACGCTGTGGGCAAATGTGACCATCCCATCTGCTTCCGCTGCTCCACAAAGATGAGGGTGCTGTGTGAACAGAAGTACTGCGCTGTCTGCAGAGAAGAATTGGATACGGTGCGTCCAAACTTTGTTGGCAAATGTGGCAATGACATTTTTTTTTTGTAAATTAGAGGTTTCACTTGGCAAAGTGTAAAAGAGAGCTTTGTTATTGTTTGGACTGAGGATTCATTCACATTATGTCCATTGAGCTACGTTGATCTGCATAGATCTGGGATAGGCTGTTGGGGACTTACAAGTCTCATGTGGCACTGCAAGACTGACAATAATAGGCATGACTCACAGAAGCTCGATAAGATTTTTAGTTTTATCTCAGCTGGAGTGCTAAGGTTGCGTACCGCTGGCATAGATCAACGCTAGAGCAATGACTTGTTCACACCATACATGTGCACTGTATGAAATTGCTGCATGTCTGCAATATTACACAACACACAATGCAGCATGTCTGCAATATTACACAACACACAATGCAGCATGTCTGCAATATTACACAACACACAATGCAGCATGTCTGCAATATTACACAACACACGATGCAGCATGTCTGCAATATTACACAATGCATCATGTCTGCAATATTACACAATGCAGCATGTCTGCAATATTACACAAGGCACGATGCAGCATGTCTGCAATGTTATACAACACACGCTGCAGCATGTCTGCAATGTTATACAACACACGCTGCAGCATGTCTGCAATGTTACACAACACACGATGCAGCATGTCTGCAATGTTACACAAGGCACAGCACCGCAGCCTGTCTCAGAGTTTAATAAAAATAGGCAGTCCTTAGTCTTTTTTTTTCCTGCAGCCCCAGCACTGAATGAACATGAGGCAGGCAGTCCAGAGACTTCCTGTTCATTCACAATCTGGAGATAGTAAATATTTACTATCAACCCAGTCGTGAATGGACAGGAAGCCTCTGTTCTAAGCTGCTTCCTGTTCATTCATAAAGTGAGCAGATAGTAATATCCCCACTGATAAATGAACAGGAAGTGACATATAGCACTTTCTGTTCATTCATAACTGGGGAGATGGTAATCACTATGTCCTCCGTTATTTACAAACACCGAGTGCTCAGTAACTGCTTAGTTTAGCGTCACTTTAGTTTACATATGTTTTGGCGACAGGTTAGGTGATATTCTACCTCCTGTTTAATATTCCTTCAGAATGCAGTCCTATGTTTGGGTGATGTCTGATTAAATCTTTAAGAATGTCAGAGTGACGTCATGACTTCTCCCCTGGAAAGACCGGATGATTCAGTGCTTTGTGTAGTGCTTGGCTGTCATTGAGAAAAGACAAGGTGTGGCATGAAAGGGATAGGACCAGTTTTATTTTCACTATGTATGAGGTGCTGTCACTTTTTTCTTTACTGGCTGCTGTTCTGCCGACCATGTCAAAACTGAAAGGTGTGCCCCCAATTCAAAACTGAGAGCACAGTGTACATGTGCAGGGCTTCTATTATTTATCAAGGAATAGCAATTGAATTGGTGCATCCTGCTGCTAAAAGTAACCTTGTTGCTGGTGATGGCATAAGTGGGGTGTTCCTGTTCCTTAGCCGACCTGCTGATGATTTCACGGACACAAAACAAGTATAGAGAGAAGTTGTGACCCTCTTCTGGCAGTCGTTGACAGCATGCTTGTCCCGGGCCTCTGACTCAAAATGACCAATGTCAGGCACAGCCAAGCATGTAGCATTTTTTTGCCCATCTAGTTGTCAGGTTTGTAGAGATTCAAAGGCCGTGTCATTGTATTCTGTCATCAGAAAAGTACAGTAGCTGCCTTTTCGTGCTTTGTGCTGAAAATACTACATGCCTGGCTGTGCGTGACAGTCCTTTTGAGTCGGAGACCCAGAACAAGCATGCTGTCAATTAGCCTCCATTCACATATAGCGTTTGCGTTTCCTGTGCAGAAGATCACTCGGCATGAAAATGCAAAAATCTGCCCGTTTTCTGCTCGTTTGCTAAAGCTGCGAACGTGCTGAATCCACCCCTGAAATCGCGCTTAGACTATTTTGCGGGACGTGCCGTTTTGTACCGCTTTGTACCGCGTGGTCCCCGTAATAGCCTGAACAATGCACAATAAAATGCAATTTTTTTAAATGTTTAGAGGGGTTCTGCACGTTTTCGTATGGCCGAATACGCGCGACAAGCACTCCTGTGTGAATTGAGCCTTAGGAATGCACCGATACCGAGTATTTGGCCGAGTACTCGTACTGGCCCAAATGCTCCGATACTTTCCCCCTATACCGGAACTTCCGGTCATAGGGAGATTTCCTCTGACCGGCAGTGCCGCGAGGGACTAATTGGCCGGGAAGCCAGCTCCATGCTGTTTGGCTGGCTCGATGCTGATTGGCTGGGAAGCCGGCTTCCCGGGCAATCAAGAACCTGGGCGGCAGGTAATGACACGCCGCTGGGCTTCCTGATTGCCCGGGAAGCCGGCTCCATGCCAGCGGAAGTACCGTTACTCAGTATCGGCAAGTACCAAAAGATAAATATTGGTAATCGTTCCCGAAAAACCGGTATCAATGCGTCCCTAGTGTCAATGATTGCCAGAAGAGTGTCAGCACTTATGTCAGCAGTTATCTCTATACTTGCTTTGTGTCAGTGACTCAGACAATGGTGAAGATAAATTATCAGCATGTCCGCTAAGGAACAGCATTCTCATAAGATAAAGTCAGCAATGGCACCCTCTGTTATTCTGTCATTCCCTTTAATAATTTTAGTACATGGGTAGCTTTTCCTGGAAGCATTCGAATTCCGACCATTGATTTTACTGGCTGCCTAAAATAGCTTTTTCAACTTTTTTGGTACAAATTGCAGTGAAGTCCTGTAGCTCGGCCATGATTCCAAAGAAAACTCTAGCGTCTTTTGAAGTTAACCTGGCCCTCCCTTCAGTCTTGCAGAGTTGTACCGGCTCCTCTCCTGGACTGAAATGGCTTCCTCTGATCTCACCGCACACTGCGAGCTTCTCACAATGTGCACTAGAAGCTGCAGCAAGTCGGGTAGAGCCGGCTGATTTCCTGGCTAGAGGTCGTCCAGTATCAACTAGCTTTTTCCTTTCCAGCCTGTCTGTCCCTGGCCCCCCCACTTTGATTTATTGGATTTCAGTTCTTTCAATCATGGAGGCTCGGCATCACATGTGAGTGTCATCTTGAGTACAGCCTGCCTAGGAACACCCACTCCTTCATACTGACACGGATGCTTTCAGGAAACTATGTACAGGCATGATGGATTTGACCACAGCTGCTGAGGTTGCCTACGGCTGCGTTAGAGCCTCTTCCAGGTGTTTTTTTTTTATTGCTGCCTGTGTACCAGATTGGGAGCATCACTGTCTATTTGTGTTGGCGATCACTGTTACTGGCACTGAAATTAAAGAAAAATCCAGAATTTTGTGTTGTTCCCAGGACACGAAGAGGGGAAATCATCCAGTTCCTACTCACTTCCTGTTGGTTCTACATGAAATGAAAGAAAATTTATCCAATAGGCACATGTGGCGAAAAAAGAAACAAACTAACAAGGGTTTCAGCATCCCTACAATAGAGAAAAGAGCTTTGGCTTTAGATATACTTAAATCTGCCGGTGTTCTGTCAAACTTTGTGACTGCGTAAGAATGTGTGACCGGTGACGTGGTCACACTTTTTCGCTGGTGGAATATGTGACCGGCAAAAGGTGAAGAGTTCGAACGCTTTCTCAGCTGTTCCAGGGCAGATCGGCATCGCAGATGGCATGTGCAGGAGAACTGATCAAGAACTGATCGGTCCTGAAATGTCACTTCTGTCTGACTGTGTGACTGCGATCTCACATTCCACCAAGTCGGATAGAAGTGACATTTCAGGACCGATCAGCTGTTCCAGGGCAGATTGGTTCTCCTGCACATACGATCTGCGATGCCGATCCGCTCTAGAACAGCTGAGAAAGTGTTTGGAATTCTTCACCTTTTGCCGGTAACATATTCCACTGCCGAAAAACTCGGTGTGATTTATATTAAAATGTGTGACCACGTGACCGGTCACACATACCAAACCAGTCCCAATCTTTGATAGAACACCTGCACTGCAGATCTCGGTTTATTGCTGTGACATCACTGGAAAGTGGTTGCTCAATATGGATTTCTTCACTTTGTCCTCTGCTTTTATTAGCGTTGGAAGAAGCTCATAAAAAGACATTGCACATAGATGAGTAGTATTGCTGTGTAAAGAAAAGGACGTGGTGAAAAATTTATATTCTGCCCATGAGAGCCAGATGGATACACCCTGCCAGGCCTGGTTCCTGTGCGTTAGGGGTATGTCCCATCGTGCTGCTGTACAATAAAATGAAAAGTCCCAAAAACATTCATAAACCTCAAACACGGCTTGAAATGTTTCCCTGATATGCAAGCAAATATCGGAGCAAGTTTCCAGCGCTGTTTATTGATGTCCAGTTGTGTATTGGATGACATGGCAGCTGTGGGGGGGCATATGTAATATTTACAGGTGAGAAATTGCATTAATTGGTAGTCTTGGCGTGACTGTGTGAGAGCGTATACTGGAAGTGATTGTTTCTCCATGGTGTTATTTAGCTGTAATCGCTGACAATTGTCGATATTTCTGGACTTTTGTTTTTTCAGGTGGTTTTTGTTAAAAAGGTGTCCCCCTTTTCCAGTATCAACACCACCCAGATGCAGTGTGAGAAGAGATATGATATATACTTCAGCGATGGCAAAATGTTTTCTCTGTACAGGTAAGGCAACGTTTTAGTTTTTGTGATGCACCATTTTTCCCTCCGTACCTCTCATCCCTCTTGTTTTGTTCTGCAGGAGATTGCTGCAACACGAATGTTGGCTTTGCCCTGACATGAGACCCTTCCACACCTTTGTTGACCTAGAACAACATATGAGAAAAAATCATGAACTCTTCGGCTGTAAGCTGTGTCTGAAGCACTTGAAGGTAAGGGCACGAAAATAGCATGGTAAGCCAAAGCTGTATTCGGGTTTCTTTTAGCTACTGGTAGTGGAGCACAGCTGTGACAGGGGTAGATGTGGTCTCTGTTATAGAGGGGTCTGTGTTCAGGCAGATGCATTGATTGGCTGCTGTTGACTGACTACAAACATCTGCACCGCCCTCACCCG